AAAAAAGGTATATAATCTAAACAGAGACTGTTAAAATAAAAACACGGTCCAAAAGATTTAACATTTATTGCACTGATAATATATATACCTCTGTAAAATATTAACTTAAATACGCTGGCGATAATACAGACGTGAAAGCAATACCTTGTGAATGAATATTTGGAGAAAGGAAATGTGGCGATAATACTAATGCTGATAAAATCGGTGTAGAATAAACTAGAGGTGACGCAGCAAATGGTGAGAGAACAAGAGGGGACAAAGCATTTGGGGTCCCTACAAGAGGGCTAAGTACAAATGGAGACAAAATTAGGGGAGTCAGTGCTTGAGGCGACAGTATCAATGGGGTAAGAACAAATGGCGAAAGTACAAAAGGATTCATTACACCAGGTGAGAGAACAAATGGGTCTAGAACTAGAGGACTAAGAATGATGGGGGTACCTATGGCGGGGGTTAGAATGATAGGTGAGAGTACACGAGGTGAAGTTATGAGAGGAAGGAAAACAAATGGGGAAAGTACGATGGCTCCAAAGACAGCTGGAGAGTTGATAAGAGCGGATAACACTACAGGGGATAGGATCAACGGGGCACTCGCTCCTGCAGGATCATTAACGATAGCCTGGAGTACTAGAGGGTTTAATACTCTAGCCTGACGCTTTTGACGTCGTGATACCACTGGAGCTAACTTTCCAACACCATCGTGCACCTCATATCGCAACTCCCCAGCACCGACGAAGCGTATCGTATCTCTTACGGTGCGGTGCACAACATCGTTCGTCACGTTACGCATTCTATCCAACGCTATAGAATCGTTCATAGGAGAGTTTGGACCATAGATAAGTTCCCTCTGAGCTGGGGAAAGCACTGCGTAACCGGCGCTATTCATTTGATGCCGCTGAAATCACTTATTCAATACAGGATAGGAAGAGAGCCGATATGGGGTTACCTGTTCCTTAGTAAAGCTCTTCTCTAATTGCTCAAACAATTCGATTTTCGACCCTTCATATTCTCCATAGATTTTAGTGACATTTTCCTTTGTGAGATAAATCGGTTGTCCATCGGGCCCACGAACTTTTCTGATATCCTGCTTTGCTGCCTCTTTTTGTCTCTTTTCCTTTAATAAACTATAGAGTAGGCAAGGCTATGGGTATGTACACATCTCCATAACTGCTTGATTTTTCATCCCAAACCAATTCTAATATCTACCAAACTTTTCCATTTTGTTCTTTTCTTAAATATGGTATTTGCAAAAGCAAACTTTTTTGTTTGAAATTTTCCTGAATTCAAAAATTTTGAAAGATCTTAGATTCTCTCAAAGTCTTGATCAAAAACTAGAACATCATATTATGAGACAACATGATTGGAACAACCAAAACTTAGCAGTATTTGACAAAAATTTCAAAAAAAAAATGTTCCTATTTTTAAAGATTTTCAGAGGACTGCAAATGCACTTTTTATTTATTCGTGAACTGTTATGAAGCTGTCATTTTTATTGAAAATTCTCTGAGCACTTTAGACTTTAGCATTTCCTGCACAATCCAATACGTTTTACTGTACAGTTAGCTAGTTTACCAATTACAGGAGATATCATAATATTTGAAAGTAATCAACCTTACATCAAATTTACATCCATTTTTTTGAGCGAGGCCATTTTTAATTAACAAACCTTCTTAATAAGGGTTTGCTTATTTTTGTTATCCTCTTCAAAACAGAAGACTAAGAATCTCGGTTTTGTAGTCAATATCTTTTCATTGGTGATCGATAACACTATGCAAATTTCTTGCCTTTTTATCACACTAACAATATGCTCATTTATAGCAACAGTATGGTAGAATAAGAGAATTGAAACTCATGTATTCATTGTATATTGTTTGAATGAAATTTCGATTCAAACAATACACAATGAATTCCTAAGCTGCTTCTACTAAGGCGGCTCTACATGCTCT